TTCCTCAGTGAATTTGCATTCCACAGATGCCACTCGCCACCACAAAATGCCCGAGTCATGATATCAGCTTATAACCATCAGAAACAGATGCTGAACAGTAGTCTGCTGCAGTAAACATAAGACTACAGCTCTAATTGTCCTCTCCTCTCTACCTCATTCCATCAGATACAGCGCAAGTTTAAATATTTCATTTGGCTGCTTGCGACGAGTGGAAAGACTTGGAATTTGCCGGAGAGCTGATCCTGGAGGCACATCAAACATGGCCACTGTCCTCTGTCTCGACGTCCACTCGTGTTTGTTTAGCTGTTTGCATCAAACTAAATAAAAGTGACCTAGAGGATTACAGCAGAAATTTTGTCATCGGGTTCAGAAAGCATGAGATCCTCTTCACCTTCCAACACGATTCAGTAAGCAAGAAAGAATTAGCTTAGCTGTACTTGAGTGTTTAAAGGGGTCCTATTATGCTCTTTTACAAAGTATTGATTATGTTTTGGGGGTGTACTAGAACATGCTCTCATGCTTGGTGGTTCGACAAATGCATTATTTTTCACATAATTTACATTATTAAAATACCTTTCTCCCCAGCCTGGCACAAACGGCTCGATTAGTTCCGGCTTTGATGAAGGTCCACCTTCCGAAAAACAAAATGTGTTGTGATTGGTTAGCTGTCCCAGTGCGTTGTGATTGGCGAACAGCTTAGACGGTGTTTCAGTACTGCCCCGCCCCTTGCTCCGTCTTTCAACAAAAGCTTTTTGGGCGAATCCGGCAGGCACTGTACTCCTCATTTTACTGTCCTCAGTAAAATGTGCAGCCCACAATAGCAAATTGGGGTTATAATGCTCAGGAACAGAGTTAAAAAATAAATTGCAACCACTGTTTCCTGACATCATCCGCTTTCGGAAGCCCAAACAAAGACGTTTGGGCATGGAGGTGAAAAAAACAGCGTTTCAGGCGGTCGCGCACCAGACGAGAAGCGCAGCGTCGCGTCGCGCCACATCTTTAAAATTCAAATACATTATTTTCTATGAGTGTAGGCACACCGGCGGCGCCGTTCGGCGTCTGTCCGCGGCGCCCAGCTACGTCGTGTTGTACTTGTAAGAATTGTTCTAGACATGCCGAAAATTTGACGCTACAGCACAGCAGCTCTTCTTCTTCGTTTTCTCTGATGCACTAACTCTGCAGCAGCACTTCTTCTTCATCGTCTCGTCTGATGCACTCACTCAACCAAGCGCTCTAACCACAACCTCGCCCCTCCCCACCCCCCAACCATTCGAATTTCTGTAGGCGGGAATTATTTGTAATGATATTCCAATGAGCCGCTTTGTGATATCACAAAGCCCCGGAAAACAAACGCTGTAGTCCAAACGAGCCGTTCGTTGTAGTTCTTGAAAAGGGATTTAAAAAAAACGAAATATCTCCCTTTGGAGTGGACTTTGAGATTTGTAACTTTCTAGATCTTTTTTATGCCCAAACATACACACTACACACTGACTAAAATTTAAAAAGTGAAAAAGCATAATAGGACCCCTTTAAACAAAGCATTTGTTTAAAGATTTACTTCACCCCAACAATTAAAATTCTGTCATCATTTACTCACCCTTTGTGTCTTTCGAAACCTGTACGACTTTCTTTTGTGGAACAAAAAAAGGACATATTTATAGCAATCTGCTCTTTTCCATTCAAACGGAATGAATGGCCATTGTATAGCTTCAGAAGACTTGAAATACAACACACAAGTTACTTTTATGGTGCATTATGGGGATTTTTTGTGTGTTTTTGGAGCTTGACGTTCTCGTTTTGTGCTCCGCAGAAGAAAAAAAAAGTCATACAGGTTTGGAAAGACGTGAGGGTGAATAAATGAAGTTTGATTTCTGGGTCAACAATCCTTTTAATAAAGCATAATGACAAAATTGTACAAAGTAAATAAAGGGTGTAAGATCACTAGGAAGTGGACATACTTAAAAGTGGACTCAGGAATCAATTAGCATAGAGAAGCTGTACATTACACTGATTTTTTCATCAGTTATCTGGTTATGGTTATCTGAAGTTGTTATTGGAGTACGTTTTACAAAAAAATAAATGTTCAGTTTTTCTACTTCAAAATCACGTTTTATTCAGTGTGTTACTTGCAGTGTCATTGTAACTGCTTGTGAAACGTAATAGCAATTTCCAAGTGAAAACGGTTTCTACACCAACTTTCAGTGTACATGTACAACAGCCATTGTGAAAATGTTTTAATACTAAAAACCATCAGAGAGACATTAAAATGCTTTCAACCAATCAGGACGTCTTGATTCCAGAAAAATGAGTTCCACTGTGGTGCAACTAGGTTAATCTCTTATATATTGCAGCACTGGGAGCCGGTGGGAAGCTGTGAGATGACAGCAGGTCAGTCATTGTAAAAGTTTTATCCTCATTCCAACCCACGGCGCAGTGAAAATAGCTCATTTGAGGGTGCAACAGCAACCAGGGAGGAAAATGAGCTCTTTCTACATGCGAGAGCCAGACATCTCCAGAGCCCCACAGACGAATCTCCCCGTCTCACAGACTGCTGCTTCCTCCCACAACCGCACTGCTGGGTCATGATGAATACTACAACATCCTGCTGCATACTTGGAGGTTGATTTCACTGCACGGTATGCTTCATTGTGGAAAGCATTCCCTGAGGTCACCAACAGAAACTTTCATAGAGCCATACTGATCATTGGGTTGACCAATAATTTTCATCGATATTCACATCTTTGGTTCTTCAACATCGGGTCTCAGCACCATTTGGTGGGTCTTTAAAGAACATCACCCAACAACACAACTAAGAGTTCAACAGGAAACAGCAGTGCTCATAGGAAACGCAACTTACTTATTGTTTGCATAAATTACTAATCTTTTATGCAACAGCCATTCATTCTGAAGTAAGAAATGAGTAGCATTTAATACTCACAGGCCAAATAAACTTGAAAAAATATGGGTGATTATTAGTATAATATCCATAATGCATACTACGCAGGGCTCAAGGCTAAGGATTTTTTCTACTGTCCCGGTTGGGCCAGTGGTTCAATTTTTTTACTGGCCCTGCCACACACACACACACACACACACACACACACAAATACATTAATAGTTGTTGTTATCATTGTTTTTAACCTAAGTTTCCTTGTACTCTAATAAATAAGCTTATATGACACCAAAATTTTAGATACCAGTTAAATTTTACAATTCTCTATTCCAATTTCAATACCACAACAAAAACTAGCCTAACACATATAAAGTTCAAACATTATTAAAGACAAGTGAACAGTCGGTAAATAAGAACAAATGAACAAATTACAAGTAAAAGCACAAATAAATAAACAGAACAACTGCTTTAGATTTTTTGATTTGTAGGTGTTCAAGTACAGAAATTAAACACTTAAACGTAAAATAACATTGCATATTCTTCACTGTATAAATATAAGGATTAATCTTTTTTTATTCTATAGGTGTATAATGCCTTGCGGTTTGTGTGCTTTTCCTGTCTTCTAATGCTTTTAAATCGACTGAATGTTTAAATTGGCAAAGCTTTAAAAACACGTGCAAATGATCAACTTTTGTGAGGACACAGCAGTGCTCAATCAGGCCAGTGACAAATCCATCTACTGTCCCGAGCGTCTTTTACACTGGCCCCGGGGCCATCGGGCATAGCGAGCCCTGCTATGCCTTTATTTTTGCACTCAAATGATTATTCTATTTATTAGTTTAACAAAATAGCAATGAAATAATAATTAAAATGAAATTATTGTACATTTAATCATAAAAACATTTGTATATCGGTTGTTAAAACATTTAAACATCTTTAATAATTAAATTTTCTAAAGTGACACCTGTACTTCACGGGTACAGATGCTAACATTGTGAAGATTCATAGTACTCACAAATTACAGTGTGACATTGTTTTTTTGTAAGACAGACAATACCAAATTCAAAGATTTAAGTTCAAAGTAATACACATGTAGAACCATTTTTTTTTTTTTTTTTACTACTTTGGGTAATACACATGTAGAACCATTTTTTTTTTTTTTTACTACTTTGACAACAATAACTAAGCAATAACAAAAGCATATACAGTATGGATATTTTAATCAATAAAAAATTGTAAACAACTGCAATTTGTAAACAAATGCCAACAATAACTCGGACAAAGGTGCAGAAAAAAATAAACATTTATCAGTAGAGCTAGATTAAGAAACCGATAAAGAGAGTATCGATACTCAAACAAAATATCGGTCAAACCAAATGTTGGTCAATATACTAACACCAAGTTATTTTTAAACAGTGCAGTCCATTGGCATTTTTTGTGCTAGTAAATCTATAACGAGTTCTATCGCACTCTTCATCTTCAAAAACGCGACTATATTTGGTTAATCCCCACTAACTAGTAGGCTAATTAGTGTAATAGTTTACAGAGCCACATGGTACAAACATTTCAAATACAATGATGAGATTAAACACTTGCAGTCTAGCATTAATGTGATTAACACAACACCCACATTAAACCCACATTTTGCATTTTGGCGCAAATGACTGCATAAAAAGTAACGTTGCGCGTTTGGTAAATTACTAACGTTACACCGAATTTATGTCAATAAGCCATATTGTTCGCAGCGCCAATGGCTAATCTTAAAAACCCCTAGTTCAGCGAGTCTGTAGCTGAGTGTATTCGCTTTAATAAGCACGTTAACAAAACTGGCAACCAATTTAAACAATGAACGCAAAAGAAATGAAATTGTTGCGTTCGCGCTCCATTTTGACGTTGGCCAGTCTGCTAAAGAACGCAACGCTGCAGCTCGGTCGTACATACGCCATAAAGCAAAAAACAAAAACATACATGTATTATCTGAATATTAAACCCATTAGAGTCCTACTAAACAGAAGCCCACATGTAAAGATTGAAAACCACGATGACTTACAGCAATAGCTGCTAGCCAGCTTCAGATGAAACTCTTAAGATGTCGCAAATTCCTCACCTGTTAAACGCAACTTCACGGGTCCATTTCTTCTAACTCCTTGATTAGACATGTCCTTGACCCTTATCCCGGCTGATTATAACAGAAAACGAGTTGAACGTGCTGTAGAGTTGCTCTCTGGTTGCCCTCAGCGCGAGTTTCACAGTGAACAGAAAATAATGGAGTCACGGTCCTGTGGCCCGGATGTGCACAGCCCTGCCATGTCTACATACATACATACACCCGCGCCGCGGCTTTTAACGCGCTCCTCGTATTTCTACCAAATCCACGACGTGCCCTCAAAAGATCCGCTTACAAAGACCTCCTGAAGCTCTTCGCATTTTCCACGAACGAGCCGCGCTCGGGTTCTGCTGCCATTGCAAGGAGACCTCGAGGGAAAATGCGACTGAATTGAGGAAATGTGGTTTGAAAGGTGTCTGGCATCTGCGGAACCACTAAAACCGCCCAAACAGTGACTTCACACCCACTTCTTATTCGTAGCACTGTGATCCTCACTTTATCCATCTATATGGCTACTAATTTTTCCCACTTTATTTATTTAGACTTAAAGTAAGTCTTGGATAACGAAGATACACACGAATGAAAAACCACTTGTTCTTTTTTATTTTTATTTACAACAAATAAAATTGAAACAGATTTGTATGTACAAGTCAGAACATGAGGTCCTCACAAAGACAAACATGAACAAGACAAGCGGTTGGCAGAAATGTTCAGAACAATCATACAAAAATACCACAGTTTAGATATTTAGAAGTTGAAAGTGCTTGGGTTTTCATTGATTTGGAACGCATAGCCATCGGTTGTCGCTTCGGGGGCCACGCATTCGTCCTCTTCCTCCTGAAAAACGGAAATAAAAGCAGCAATTTAGGAAAAGCGGGCTTTCTAAGAAGTATAAGAAACAAAGAATGCACAAGGACGGCTAGTCAAACCACTTTCGAGAAGCTGAGAGACTTGTTTTGACAAATATAACGGAGTCAATTAACATGCAAATTGCTAAAAACTACACAATGAATAATAATAATAAATTCATTACATTTATATAGCGCTTTTCTAGGCACTCAAAGCACTTTACATTGTCAGGGGTATCTCCTCATCCACCACCAGTGTGCAGCATCCACCTGGATGATGCGACGGCAGCCATAGTGCGCCAGAACGCCCACCACACACCAGCTTATTGGTGGAAAGGAGACAGAGTGATGAAGCCAATCAGTAGATATGGGGATTGTTAGAAGGCCATGATGATCAGAGTATCGCTACAGGCGACTGAACAATGCATAGTATATTGTCCACAGATGTGTTTGAGAGATTTGTGTTTGTCATTCTTTGCACTTGGCTAATGAAGAGATTCTGATAATGCATGACTATACATTTAACGTTCAACCGACCTCTCCAGAGAAGTACTTTTCAATGAGGTTGAGGGAGGCCTTGTAGACCATTTCATTTTCGTGGGACTGCAAAGCTTCTATTTTGTCCAGGCCGCCACATTCCTCAATCATCAGGGCCAGCTTTTCGACCTCACCAATCTTTTCACCAGCCTAAAATGAAAAATAAAATCCCATATTTAAAGTTATGGATCTACTGTCATGTACATCCAAGTGAAACATTATCGGGGGGGAAAAAAAAAAAAAAGTAGGTTCTATGCATTGGTTGTTGAGACTTGGGTCAACAATTCATCTGTGCATGTCTCAAGATATATAACATGCATTCAGAAAATAGATTGTGTGACTTCTTATTTCATGTCAACAGAAATCATACCAAAAAGATATTGGTGATTGCATCCAAGATGACAAGAATAGTTTTGCTGTCCTTAGTGGAGAGCAGGTTCAACAAGGGTTCTAGTACGTTGGCCTGAACAAGGTTATATATATATTTAAAAAAATATATAATTTAATAAATAATGAGCATATCACTACTTTAAACTAACATACCACAATGGAGAGCTCCCCTGATCCCAGCAGCTGCACCAGTCGAGGAACCACACCAATTTCCACCACAACCTCGATCCTTTCATTGGGCCCATCGGTCAGGTATGAGATTGCCCAGCAGGTGTCCGCTAGCACCTCCTTATCTTCATGATGCAGAAGGCGGATAAGTGTTGGCAGCATCTGTTTCACGGCATCCAGAGGAGGTGCAGGGTTCTTATTGCGGCACAGGTTTGACAGGGTCCAGGTGACGTTCCTCAGGTAACCAGACTGCAGAAGAAGAAAGACTAGTCAGGAGAAATTACTGAAGCTTTGAGGCCACCTACTGGTAAAGTATGCCCACTACAATTTAAATAGTGGTTTAAAACCAATAGTGCCGAACCCCAAAATATAATGGGAGAAAAAAAAAAAAAGTTGAGCACCACCTGGGTCTGTTCATCGGTACCAGTGACGATGTTACCAATGGAACGCAGTGAAGGGGTCTATGGGAAGAAGAAGAAGAAGGGGAGAAAAAAAAAAAAAACAGATTTGAAACATTTACTAAATATTAAAATTGTCAAATTGTCATGAGACAGTCAAGTCAAGCCATGACATACAATCTGTAAAAGCAGTGTTCTCGATTTTTTGTACACACACATATATATAAAATTAAGAATCAATAAAACCATCCAGTTAAGAATCAATTAAAAAGTGTTTATTTAAAAGTAAACGGATTTATTTTATCAAATTTAATAAAAAATATAATTAATCAAAACTTTAATAATTTAAATCTTATATTTGAATAGATTTATTATCGAATAAAAACAAATTAAATATTTTAATGATCTATTTTTTTAATCTCATATGAATAAATTTAATTAAATATTATATTTTTACTTTTGAAAAAGATTATTAATATTAATATTTTAACAACATTAAAATATCTATTTTTAAAATAAACATCTAAAATGTATAATATTTTAACAAATGTAATTTAATAAAAATAAACCTAATATTTAATCATTCAATATTTAATATTAATAAACGCTTTAATAAAAATATAATATTTGAAATAATGTAAAAATAAATATCTATTATTAAAACAATAATAATAAACTTACAGGAAATACAGAGAAATCAGGAACAGCCAGCAGAGCTAAGAGGGGGGCAACCGCACCATGCTTAATGACTTTATCTCTGTATGCAGAGCCATCGCCTACAAAGACGAAAGAGCAAAAATAAATTCATACAACCAAGTTAACAAAAATCACTACATCTCATTGAGCAGAAATGCTACTGGCCACCCACCAGCAATGTTTCCAAGGGCCCAGACAGCCTGCTCGCTAATATGAACGTGCGGTGAAGAGATGAGGCTGATGAATGCTGGAACAGCCCCTCCCTGAACCACAGCACTGGTCTGGTCAGATGTTCCAGATGCAATGTTAGTCAGAGCCCAGGCTGCCTCAAACTGTATGGGAGGACATTCGGTCAAGCTCAGGAAGCTCACGAACTTGGGAATCAGACCAGTGCTGATGATACGGTCAATAGGTGGATGCCTCTCTCTTGACAGCAACTTCCTGTATTTCAATTGGACAAATCACAATATGTAAAACAGTTGAAATGAATGCATATTTCTTTGCATGCAAATGCTATCTTTTAAAGGGGTCATATGATGCGATTTCATTTTTTCCTTTCTCTTTGGAGTATTACAAGCTCTTTCACACCATTTACGATCTCCTCCACCGTCCAGTGCGGAGCCTGATAAAACACAATCATATCTTATGACGTGTAATATCTCAATAGCATGTACACATTCATCAATAACGAATGATTACGTGCTGAATCGTGCATTAATATGGATCATACATACCTGACCGTTCTGGCTTTTCTCTTGAAGAGGAGAGGTGGCCTCGTCCGGTAGACTGCTCACGTTCCTCCTTTTCAAAATCTGCTCGTCTTTCTTTGCTTTGCGAAGTTCAACATTGACTTCGACCCTTCGACGTCTCAGCTCCTACATTATTAAAGCATGTGACATCTTTTACGAACGGAACTGCGGCACATTTGAAAGAAAACAATCGATATCAGCACTTTTTGTTGTATCGTTTTACAAAACTGCTTACAGTTGCATCTTTTCCTTTGTTTTTGAACTGAGTGAGTCGTGGACTGTTCTCATTAGCAGCAGACATTTTAATGAGGTTTGATTAATCACAGTATATCGCAACCTGAAACAGAGAAACACGTTCGTCAAAATATCAACCTTGTTGTATCACTCAGTTCTGAAATTAGAAAAGCATACTTAAGAATAAACTATAATAAAACTATATTATAAATCTACTAAAGAGGAACTTACCTTTCTTTCCAACCAAAGGACTGTGGCGGTGGAAGTATGAAACAGACCTTTAAATTCGCGCTATGAAGAATCTCATTGGTCCGTTCGAGCAAAAGCATTTTCCTATTGGACCGTTTTGAAAAATCACACTGCTGGGGACGAAGCTTACGTATTAACGCGAGATTTGGCGAGAATGCCAAACAAGATTTCTGGGAATTAATTTCAATATTTTATCCTTTAAAAAGAAATGAGCTTCAAATGAACATGTTATTGTGTAAACACTAAATTATATCAAAATTTGTATATTTAGTATATAATTAAATACATATTCATATTTGACATTTTTATTATTGAGATCTGATCGTTTTATTAATGTGACCATCTGAATTAATGATCTCTATAAATATTTATGGCGGTTGTTTACAAAAACCTGATTATTTAAAAAATTTTCAGTTGACTGGAGTTTTTTTTTACCCACAATCATGACATTAAACAATACTGCAGTTTGTATAAATATAAAGGCTATTAAAGAATGTGCTGTGCTGTTATGGTTATTAAATATACTGTTTCTGTTTAAATCAATTTAATCGTAAATAAATCTATAGAAAGCACTTTGGTTACAAGGAATGTATGTGTGACAAGGGGGCGGGGCGAAGCAGCTCTAAGTTTAATTCTGATTGGTCAGCGACGACCATGCTTGGCTTTCTCAGATTTTAAAATCCATGATGGAAGAGATAGAGAGAGCCTTTGACACCACGTGTTACAGTATACAGAACGCATATATCCATTGTGTGCTGAAAAAAAAAAGGATTTAGTGTTTCTGTAAATTAAATAATCCTTCTTTGGCGTAATAATCATATTTCTAATAGGCAATTATTTGTTTGATAGCGAAAGCAACTCAGAAACCGGTTAATGGTAACACACAACTTGCCAGTTGTTAATGAAACTTTTAATTCATTCATTAAAGCAATTCATTAGACTACGATTTGAAGATCACACGTGTATAAACAAATAAGAGAAATCAGTCTTTATAGAAGTATGGTAATTCTATTAAGATCAGAGATAGGAACAAAACATGGTTATTGCCATACAAATTCTGTAAGATGGGAAAAGTGCACTTCAAAATATAACACAAAAAATGTACTGTAATAAGTATATCCTTAACTATGAACATGAGGAAAATATGTGGTTTATTTTGTGCCTCTAGACAAAACATTAAGAATTGTGTTAGATCATTTATGTATCTACAAGTACACCATCTTAAAAAGATCTTTTTATCTGAACTGCCAGATTGTTTAGGGGTCTAATAATTTTCAAATGAAGAGAATATAGAGACATCTTAATCAATGTAGAAGAGAGAATCCTGTCCCCTCCATTTATTTGTTTCATATACATCAATATTTCTTCAGTTGGAATACAAAAAAAAAAAAAAAAGGACAAGTTATACAAACAGGATACCTTCTTGACTAGTACTTTCATCAGTCCTCAATGCATTTTTAGAGCAACACTTTCTTAGTTTAAGTAACTTGATCAACCCCATTGCTTAAAAACCAATTAGCAGATTGCGTCCACATTCCACTTCTGAAGTAGTATGCTGAATCATATAAAGGGGGGGGGGGGAACAACTGGTGCAACATGATAGACTCCTGCTGTCCTGGAAAATGCGAACATGATTACGGAGGGTTTTAAAAACTCACAAATACATTTTTGTAGGCATTTAATCCTCAAAGAAATCCAAATAGGAGAGCATCCCAGTCTAAACTCACTGCTTTAACAACCAAAAATGTAAACCGTCCATTCTTGATCCAAACCCACAGCTTTTATGTCCGATATTCCACCAAACGCTGTGGCTATGTGCGGTGCTGGCTGACTGGGATAGAGTTCCATCTTGAATTAAATGTTCAAAGTTTATTTAGAACAGCATGTGGTTGTATTCTATGAGGCTGATGACTGTAGTTTGTTGTTATGAGACCTAGAGAATACAGAGAGAATGAGGTTAAAAGCCCTATGGTTTTATTGAACATTCACAAATAAAGGTGGAAAATTAAGTCTACAGCACAGAGAAAAATAGCCTCAGGGGTTAAAGGAATGGCAGCCATGTTGGCATAATACAACGGGAATGCCTTCAGTCATTTAAATTGGTGCTGGTTTCAACCTAAATTTAGAAGAAATGAAAAACAAACAAAAAACAATTTCAACCTTTTTTTAAAGCATGGTCCTTTATTTCAACATTGAAATCCCAATAAAAGGATTTAAAACTCTTTATTTTGCTTCATATTCAAGCCAACCGAAACTGCGCAGATTCTGCGCAAGTTATAAAGTTGCACAAATTTTCAGCAAATTCATTAGTCCTCTCAATGAACACTTGGACAGATCAGCGAACCAGCTGAAACAAACATGTCGTTAAGCACATTACAAAAAAATAAACTGAACAGAAAAGTCTTAAAATGCCTCTAATCAGCCAATCCATGTGATAAATATGATCATGCATCCATGTAAACATCATAAATAACATCATGTGATCAGCAAACGTAATGGGTAAAAAAAAAAAAAAACCGGGATCAGCATTTCCCTTGATTTCTGTGTGTTCATAGTGCTTCAACATGGCTGCCGATTGTCAAAGGCTTCACTGGAGTTCTGGCTTTTATTGACAGGTTCTCCAAACAGTTTTACTCATTTCACTTAAATGTACATCAGCTTCCACTGTTAATAAAACAGCAAGTTCCATGATTCTCTAATACAGAATGACTCCGCCCCTTCAGCCACTATGACTTATGATAATCTGCAAGAAAGGATAATGGATTGAATGAATGGCATGCATGAACCACAAACACAAACATTTATGTTATCAGCACACAGTCAATGAAATAAGGACAGGAATAAGAGGATGAAATGCCAGCCAGAGAAGTGGAAAGTTAGATTACCACTAAATTGCCTCTGAATTAAAAAATATATTTAAAGCAGAAACATTCATAGTGTGAAAAACAATGTTCATGAAGACAAGCAGATACAAAACAAAACTGGATAAGCCAAGGCAATGGAAAAGACTGATGAAAATTGTGAAATCAACACAAGAGCAAACTAAACAGTACAATGCAGTAGGGCTGGGTTTTGACACAAATTTCACGATTCGATTCGATTCTCATTCACAAGCTTTCGATTCGATTCGATTCAATATTGATTATTTTGGATATATATCAGGTACAGTACATGACTAAATTTGCTCAAGGAAAAATAATCTCTTAACTAATGCTGTAAAATATACATGAGTCACTTGGTACTACATTACTATAATATTGAAGGTTAAAACTGACTGAGTTTTTGCTTAAATTACACTTAATGAAGTTTTTATAATAAAATAAGTTACAATTACATAATAATATTTCTACTTCAATTCGTTGAAGAACAGTAAAAGTTATAATTAATATATTATCTGGTGCACATATTTAGCAAAATGCTCCTCTCTACAGTTAATTTTTCTAGCTGACTAATGAGTTTAAAGATTTTGGTCACGTCCGCTACGAACTCTGTGAGTTTGCTGTAAAAGCGCTTCTGGATCCTCTCCTCCATTGTAGAAAGGTCTGCAGATAACAGACAAACAAGGGAAGCAGAAAATAATGAAAATCATTACTAAAACACACAAAATGCTAATTCTTCAGTGTTACTTCTAAATCATTTATAAAAAAAATTATACAAAATAGTATGTTAATAGTTTAAGAATTACCTTAAAACTTAAGCAGAAATGTACATATAACCAAAGAGAATATTATACAAGTCACAAAATAATTCTGGTCATACAAAAGAGAAGAAGAAGAACTCTTACCCATTGGTTCCTTGATGATCCCATAATAATCTGGAGCATCATTTGGATCCACTGGTTCCAGGAATGGCCACGCCATCTTATGGGACTAACATACATATAAAATGATTGTAAGATTCACAAAGAATCAGTTCCTATTGGCTTCCATTATATTTTTTGATCATACAATGAAAGTCAATGGGAACTGAACGTTACACACATTCTTCAAAATACTGTCAGAAGAAAGAAGCTCATACAGTCTTGGAACATCGTTAGGGTGAGTAAATGATGACAGATTTTTCATTTTGGGGGGAAATGTGATTTAAATATTGTGCAATTCCATACAAGTGTTTTCTGTAAAGCAGCTAAAGGTGAAGTTTATTACAACCAGACAATTGCTTGCTTTTGTTATGACTATAACCAAACTAATTAAGGGTTAAAATCAACCAGTCAAACAATTTTGCATCGTGTCCCATTCCAAACTAAACACCAGCTCTAAAAATCCAAACAGCCTTGAAAAGATGCCATACGAACCTGTAAGGAGCGCAGGATCCGCTTCAGCCCCTCGTAGTCTTTGTCTGTGAGTGGCGTCAGGACCGTCATGGCATCCTCTGTAGACTGGCACTGCGGGCACACATACTCGTCGATATGTGTGGCTTCGCTCTGTAGGATGCCCACGCAGCGCCCGTGGTACCAGTTCTGACAGCGATCGCAACCGATGTAGAACCTGAAGAAGCATATCAATCATATCAGAAACTGTGCTTCCACATGCAGCTTTTGAAATACATGTGATGAGACTGCAGATGCGTGATTACTGGGACTCGTCGTATGGAGTTCTGCAGATGCAGTAGAGCTCCTCTGTGCTTCCCTCCTGAGCTCGTTTACATTCTGAACAGATGTAGTCATCCATCTTCTTGGCCTCTTTCTCGGTGATGCCCACACACTCTCCATGATACCAGTTAGAGCAGAGGTCACAACCGATGTAGAACCTGCATCAACAGCAAACCAACATTAGATTCTTTCATCTGATGTTCTTAGACATCACGTCTTTTATGAAAAATCGTATTAATATTTTTACAGCTTCAGTAGCATGATTTACATTTACATTTATTAAGCCAAATGCTTTTATTTAGAGTGTTCAACTGTTTGAGGTTCAGAAAAAATTACACAGAAGTGTACTGTTTTACCAAAATGGTGAATTTAAAGTGACTTTTAACAGTCTTTCCACTGTGTTCAAACAAGTCTTGTGATGCCAAACTCTTTTTTTTCGGAAAGTTTGGATGCACAAATTAGTTTTACATTATATTTTGAGTTTTCAGC